AGCAGATGTTACTACTATTAGCCAAACTCCAGGAAAAAGGTAACAAGCAGTTCCCTCGGGTAATTATGACATTGTGTGGGGTGAAAGAGGAGGAGTAGAGAGAGGAGGAATAGAATTGAGCTTTCCATGGTGATCTTTTTTTTTTAAGGATAGATATAGGGGTTAGTATCCCAGCACCTATACAGAGCATAGCCCTTATACATTGGATGCCTCCAAAGTTAAGCCAGATACAAGAATACCATTGTGAATTCTATAGAGCTCAGAGTTAAATCAGTACAATTGCCTTTTATGGTGGTATTACTCTGAACACAACAATATTTACATAGAGGTAAGTATCATCTAAACCATGCATGGATACCATAGACACAACATCGAATTAACTTATATGATACATATAAGATTTCTAGTAAATTCCTAAAACTGGCAATTTTCTACTTGTTGCTTTCTTTTCTCTTACTGATATCATGCAGCCTACTCTTTGACTTGTCTACCTTTTCTTTCATACGTTATAAGCATGCAGTAAGAAAGATGGTATATTTATGCACCATTCAAATCCCAAAGTCAAGTGTTTAATGTATGATTCCAGGAGATCCTGCCAAAATTATCATCATCACCATCATCTTTATACTGGTGACTAACAACTAGATTTTTTCCAAGTGCCAAGCACTGTCTCGATTTCTTTGCAAACACTATTGTCTATTGGTTAATAAGTGTTAATCTCACAGAGCCAAAAATTTCTTACCAGAACCTCAAAGAGTTTCTATTATGAAACATGTGTTCTGGAGTCACGCACATGAAATATGTGTTAAAAACTCTAAAATGAATAAGTACAGTGGGGCCTTGGGTTTGGGAATGCAGTGATTGGTTTGTTTTACGTCCTGGGCAAGTGGTATCCTAATCAATGCTGTCTAGATTATTTTCTTAGTGCAGGTAAGTAGGAAAGGCCACTGCCTGCAGAAACCTTTCTGGAGAAATCCAAGGGCAAATCTTGACTTTTAAGTCTCTGGTTGACAGAATGCTGAGTCTTCACCACTGGTGGATGGCTGTGCTAGGATAATTTGGATGCAGCATTAAATAAAGCAATCAAAAGGAAAATTCCTCTGCAACTCTCACTGGTATTTAATATTTTATTCATTCCCATGTTATTGTGCTTTGCCTGCGGTAAACAGCCTCCAAACAGCCTCCTAGGAGTGAGGCATTAGGAGGCTGACAAGCGTTTTCCCATGAATTGCTACTACAATACAATGGCATTTTGTTTGCTGTTTTGTTTCCTTGTCTTCTAACATTCTTTCTGACTTTCAAGGAAAAAAAAGAAGAAGAAAAAGAAATCCGCCTATGAATGGCAAAGAAAAGGAAAGAAAAGTTTCTTTTAAACTTTCAACCTTTTTCACTTGGTACTGGGTAGCATGTAAACATTTTTTTTTTTCTCATGGTATATATGCTTGCAGTCTTTTCTCTTTTGGTACTTTAAATGGCTCCCCCGCCCTCTTTTACCACATAACATTGCCTTTCCATTATTGATTTGGAAAATTGGCAGGGGAAAAAAAAATCAACCGTGTACACATCTGAAAAGAAAGTCAGGGGAAGATGGATCAAACCATCCATCTATCCATGCTGCCATTTATCTATCAATCCATCTCGCTAGCCACCCGTCTCTATTAAAATAAATAGCAGGCACTGTACACATTGCTGGTTGGCTGAAGTTGTGATCTGGACAAAAGGTCTGTTTGGGAAAAGGATGCTGAAGCTCTAATTCTATTTGTGCCGGTTGAAAATCAGGAGGGGTTTTTCTACACTTCACTCTGATTAGATTATTCCTTATAGATGGTTTCTTTTTTCCTCCCAGACGCGTGGTGGAGGCTGCTGAAGCAGTTGGTCTATAGTTGGAATAATTAAATTAACCATTTGGTACAACTTTTAGGGGAGAGCTCGCGTGTACAAAGCACAACTGGAACAAAACAGGGCGCTGGGGCTGCGGCTCTGGCCTGGCCCAGCCCCGCACGCCTTTCATCTCTGAGCAGAAGCAGGATCCTGGCCACAAAAGGCCGGCAGAGGAACGATGGGCCAGGGGGAGGGGGGAGGGACGGTTACACTGAACAAAATAAACCTACAAGGTCTACAAAGGGGAAAATGAAGTCAAGAGCATTTGCTCATCCGACCGTGCGTCCGGGCGCTGAAAGGTCCGCTCCTACAAAGGCGAGGAGCTGTGCAGCACCGGGCCGGACGGGGCTGGGCACCAGGGGGCGCCCGGGGATGGTCTGGGCACCGGGCAGAAGCCTGGCGCCCAGTCCCCCGGCCCGGAGCCAAGGCCACAGGAAGCCTCAGACCGCAGGGCGTGGAGAGGCCGAGCCCTGGGCCAGCCGCCCGCCCTCCTGGGCGCCCTCTGCGGCCGGACAGAGCGCTCGCCTGCTCGTGGCTTTTCCTAGTGTCCATCCTCGGATCCCTCTATAAATCCTGCTACCCAGAGCTGCAAGAGGAATTCCTCACCTCAGGCTCCGCACCCCCAGGAACTGTCCCGGGCACTGTCTGAATGGCAAAAAGTTCCACCCTTCATCGGACAGTCGCCTTCATGCTCCCTGAGCACTCTAAGCCCGCATCCCTCCTCTCTCCTGAAAGCTACTTGGGGTCCCCTAGGGAACCCCACTGAGATCCAGACAGGAGCCAGACGCTTAAGCTCGGGGAGATGCACCCAGGAACACCCCCCCCCCCCCGCCACGCACAAAGCGAGATGTGGACCTGGTTATTGGTAAGCATAGGCGTTGGAGAGAAACACACCTCCTCCCGGCCACCTCAAGCCATCTCCTGCAGAGACAAGCACTCACAGCCTACCTTAGCTATGCAAGAGTGGGGTGCCACACGGCCCAAGACTGTGGGCCTAGTGATGGGGTCCCCCTCGAAAATCTCAGAAGCCCCTACCCCCATCCGAGGGAATGAAGGAACTTGGACAGTCACAGCCTTTGCTTGACAATCCCTTAAGTGGATGGGGGAGGCCAGGATGGGGGAATTTCCATGGAGTTCAAAGGGGTGCAGCCACCTCGCAGTCCAAATGCAGATTCATATTCATGAGAGTGGGATAAATAAAGACAAATCCCCCCAGTAATAACACTTGGATTCGCATCCATCTTTGCTGGCCTTTTGGTTTAGGGGGCTGAAGACAGATGTTGGCATCCCTTTTCTCCTCTTGTCTCGTGACCATAAAGAAAAACCATTTAGAGCGTTACAATTTGTTTCCCGCCGCAGTAAAACCTTGTACACATTTATTTTCATTTCACCCTTGTGCACAAAAAAGTGCACACTGGTCACCAAGGGTCCTTCTTTATCAAATACGCATTCTACAACACACAACGGCAATAAAACTATCAACCCTTCCCATAAAACTATCACCAGGTTTCTCAATGTGTCCCGATGCCTACGCTGCTGAGATCGGCGCTTTCTTAAATCCCGAGGACGCGCGAACACCTGAGACAACCCTGAAACTCACCCCGCGAAGAAGTACAGGCCAGGCTGGGGGGCTGCGGCCCCTGCTTAATTGTTAGGCGTCCGCAGCAGTTTAGTGCGCAATGAAGCAGGGTGGCAGTGGAGAGCGGGCGCTATCCACTCCCCGGCATCGAATTAAACCACTTAGTTTGGCAAACACTGAACGCCTAAATGCCCCTATAAAGACTTTATGAGTTTGTTACTTTAATTACTGACTTGTTACAGAGCACATAAAGGGGGTAATGAATGCAATAAAACTAATTATCTACACATTTAATTCATATAAAATATCCAGGGTTTGTTTACACCACACGGCGATTCAACTCAGCATTTCCCCTGTTGTCCACCGAGAGGAAGGATTTAATGAAATAGTTTCCCTTCTTCTGCTTGAGTCTAACGAACCAAATGAAAATTATCCTCCGCTTAAATCATGGGGCCACTGAGGTCCACAAATCACGTCTAACGTCCTCGTCTGCGTCTCGCTGGCAGCACCCAGGAGCCTGAAGAACAGGAGAAGGAAGGTGCCCCGCTTGGAGTCCTTCTCCGGACATTCAAATGGCAAAGGATTCGTTGCGTGTACCCTGCAAACCTATGGGGCAGACTACAGCAGACGTCTTTGGGAAGCTCTAGGTGTGTGCGTGACTCTGAGCACCCGAAAAAAGTGGAGGTGGTGGGGGACACTGGGAGCACAGGAGACCCATCTGGGTATGCTTCATGCTGCCTTGGTAGTTACTGAGTAATTAAAACGAAAATCGCACGGAACTTCCAAACCTACAGAGTGCAAACCTGCGCTAATGCAGATACAACATTGAGCTTAAAGGACCCAATCAGTTGAGAATCCAGATGTTTACATTTAAGAGCCTTTCTTAGATTTTAAAATTTTAATTTGTTTTTATTTTTTTAAGCGGCTATATTTCCATGTCTCTCCAAAGCACATTAAGCTGCAAGGAGAAATACAAGTGATAAGAATCTATATTTTTTTCACCAAAATACCAGGTGTATTAGAAGGAAATCTGCTTATCACTCATACAAACCCCCGTGGCCCACTTACTCTATGTTACAGGGCGCCTGAGTCTCAGCAGTGTCCCGGTGCTTTATAACATTTCATGCACTTCGGGGGGTAGGCTTGTTGTTAAATTGAGCGTGTAACACTCTTACAAAACAGGTTTTCTATGACATCAAGGTTTCTTCTCTCTAACCAAGAAAAAAAAAAAAAAAGAGGACCAAGAAGGGGGACAACACACACACACACACACACACACACACACACACACTATCTCAATTTATGCCTAAGGTATATGATCAGTTAAAAAGGCTTAAAAGCTTGGGGAAATTGGATCAGGGAGAATCGTCACCCAACTTTCATTATTTCCAAGTAGTGTGATTGAATTAAAGGGCAGGGAGCTGGTTAGAAGGGAGGATCAGGGGCTCAGTGCGTAATGGTGTGGTATTAAATTCTAATTAGAGATGCAGGAATCAATGATAGGGAGGTTGGACAGCTCAGTTCCCCAGTGCCAGCCCAATAGACGGATGAGTTATTGTCATGTAAAAAGCGCCAGCAATAAGACCAACCGCTTTGCTATTGTCCAAGTGGAAAGAGCCAAGTTTATTATGAGGACTATATGCTCTAGAGACCTCAGACAAGGCATCTCATAGGAGGCTTTTTCATAAAACTAGGCTCTGCTGGTAGTAAGGAGGCCAGTTTGGAGGCAGGCGTTGAGCTGTGCACATCTCCCCTCTCCAGCCACCTTCTCCATATCCATCTTTTATTTCATTTTTCCACTTGGCTGAGCCATCCAGAACCTTTTCAATGTATAAAATGGAATATTCTTACCTCAATTCCTCTGCCTACGAGTCCTGTATGGCTGGGATGGACACCTCGAGCCTGGCTTCAGCCTATGCAGACTTCAGTTCCTGCAGCCAGGCCAGTGGCTTCCAGTATAACCCGATAAGGACCACTTTTGGGGCCACGTCCGGCTGCCCGTCCCTCACGCCGGGATCCTGCAGCCTCGGCACCCTCAGGGACCACCAGAGCAGTCCGTACGCCGCAGGTAAGGACCGCCAGCTCTCTCAGCGGAGGAAGCCGCCTTTCCTCTCGTATATAGGAAGCCTTGATTGCATTTGAAAATGGAAATGTGTTTAGTATTTACCAAACGAAATTTGCTTACACAAATGAAAGAATTTATCACGTTAGAAGCGATTGCAGGGAGGGGTAATTCACTTACAGGGTTACACTATCCTAGTCACACCCGAACCGCCAACAAAATTATCTTAAGCTGCCAAAATGATAGGCATAATTTATTTACTTTGCGATGAGACGTAAAGCTTAGAAAATAATTAAATAACAAAGAGTAAAGCTCATTACAGGCACTGTCTCTTTTTTAAAGAACCGACAGCGGCTCACACCTCTTTGGCTGGTCATTTTTACGATCATTTCTTTAATTTATTATTTTTTTGCAGCACTTTCCCCCAACTTTTGGGCCGCGTCAACTTCTGAGAATTGAAAAGTTGCAACAGTGAGAGAGTTCGGTAACTTCTTCGTTTGATGTCTAATATTTCCACTGATGTTTTTGGACTTTTTTTCCTGCTGAAAGCACTATCGCATGTCCCGGGCCTCCAGCGGTCTGCAATGCGCTATTTCAACGCACTCAAAAGCACTTATGGCAGAAAGCACCGAAGTTTGCTCCCCCGTTTCCGTACATAACTAATTTGCTTGGTTTTTCTCGGCAGCTCCTGTGTGCTAGCCTGCACTCGCGCGTCTGCGGCTGCTCCCGGGCGATCCGACCTAGAGCATCCGCATTTCGCTCCACAGCCCGTGCGCTGCTAACTCCCTGTCTCTGTCACCCTCTAGTTCCTTACAAACTCTTCACCGACCACGGCGGCCTCAACGAGAAACGCAAGCAGCGCCGCATCCGCACTACTTTCACGAGCGCGCAGCTCAAAGAGCTGGAGAGGGTCTTCGCTGAGACTCACTACCCTGACATCTACACTCGGGAGGAGCTGGCCCTGAAGATCGATCTCACTGAGGCTCGAGTCCAGGTACCCGAGCGCCTGTCCAGGCAGGGTCGGGGGTTGCTGTGGAAAGGACCCCCCACCCCCACCCCCGGTTTCGCCCGAAAAGGACCAGGGAGCTCAGGGCTGGTCTGAGAGGTCGGACTAGGTGTGGTTGTGAGCAAGAGGAAGCTTTAGGGCGCACACTCTTGACATTTATTCGGGGCTGCAAAGTGTTTCCCAGCGGACCCGAGGCATTCAGGGGGCTTGGAACGGGAAAGAGCAAGCCACGCGCCTCGGAGATAGGAAGCGCTCTCTGGGAGAAGCGCAGCCTTTCCCCTCGCGTTATAAATTCTTTCGCCAAACGCTTCCTGCTTTAAGCGCTTGTAAACTGGCGACATGGCACATAGTTGCATTTTCCCGGAAACCGTGATTTGTGTCAGATTTGCTAAGGGTCCCACGAAGGTTAGGAACCAGTTTGCCTAACCGGTCGGGGACAAACGTGCGCTCCCAGCAGTCAGTTCACAGTCCTTCTCTGGGTGGCTCAGCGTCACCCCTTCAGGCCACCGGCCGAAGGTGAGCAGCCGGCCCCAAACTCTAGTTCTACTAATTCAGGTTGAACTTGAGGTCTGAGGCCTAGGGTGGACGGCCAATTTGAGTTTGCTCAAGAAGCAGACTGACGGGTCAGGGGTTTAGCTCAGCGGCATAAGCGCCTTTCTGGCAGACGTGCGGTCCTGAGTTCGATCCCTGGTACTCCCTCTCCAACAGCAGACTGAGCTAAGGCACCTCAGCACCAAGGCTTCCAACTGAGGTCCCTCCTGCAGCCTGCGGTGTTTTTACCTCTGCTGGAAGGTGCCTTTTCTCTGGCATGCTCACGCCCCAGAAAGACTCCCCAAAGATGCAATAATAGCCACACAGAGGGTGGACGTGGTGGGCTGCTTGCCCCACTCTGGTGCTTGTGGCTCGTGGAGACGGCGGGCGGGGAGCACGTGTGAAGCCCATCAGAAATGGGACTTGGGCCGCCCTCGAGGCAAATTTCCTTTCCTGTTTTTCTTTCTTTCTTTCTCCCCCTGCTTCATCACCTGTCTTCCCGTCTGGGGCCAGGTCTGGTTCCAGAACCGGCGCGCCAAGTTTCGCAAGCAGGAGCGCGCAGCAGCGGCCGCGGCGGCCGCGGCCAAGAACGGTTCCTCGGGCAAGAAGTCCGACTCCTCCCGGGACGACGAGAGCAAGGAGGCCAAGAGCACCGACCCCGACAGCACCGGGGGCCCGGGCCCCACCCCCAACCCCACCCCCAGCTGCGGGCCCAGCGGCGGCGGCGGCGGCGGGCCCAGCCCGGCGGGCGCTCCGGGGGCCGCGGGTCCGGGGGGCCCGGGGACCGAACCCGGCAAGGGCGGCGCGGCGGCGGCGGCGGCGGCAGCGGCGGCAGCTGCAGCGGCGGCGGCGGCGGCGGCGGCCGGGGGTCTGGCGGCGGCCGGGGGCCCCGGACAAGGCTGGGCTCCCGGCCCCGGCCCCATCACCTCCATCCCGGATTCGCTCGGGGGCCCCTTCGCCAGCGTGCTGTCCTCGCTCCAAAGACCCAACGGCGCCAAAGCCGCCTTAGTGAAGAGCAGTATGTTCTGATCTGGGATCCCGGGCGGCGACAGCGACCGGACCCGGGCGGCCGGGCCGGGCGGGCGAGCGGGCGAGCGGATGCGCCCAAGGCTACTGCCGCCGCTGCTGCGCGGCTGCTTCCTCGGGGGCCCACACCATCGAGATGCGAATCGCGGGACACGACGTCGCCCCATTTCCACCCCACTCCCACCCCCTTCCTCAACCCCCAAAACGAGACAACGAAACGCAACGAGACCGGCCCGGACTCCAGCCGGCGGAGACCCTGCTGCGGAGCTCCTCGGGGCGCTCAGGGCTGCGTCCGCTCGGGTGGGTGCCTGCCTCAGGGTGGGGACGCGGGGCTGTGGCCCGAGCAGGACGCGGGACACAGGGGTGGGCCGCAGCCGGCGCAGTGACTTGCTTTGCAAAGGACAAAAGGAAAACTATTAAAAATAAAAGCTGGGAAGGCAGCAACCACCTAGAAAAACCAGAAAGATTTAAAAGCTCCAAGGGGAACGAAAAAAGACAAAGTGAACGGGCGAGTGGGGAGAAGCTGCAGCTGGTGCTCGGTCTTGAGGGCTCAATCTTGTGAACCCCTATATTCAAGCGCTCCTGACAGCGGGACTCATTAGGGGCCCCTTTTGGGGGAGAGGATAGGGATGCCTTGCCAGTCCCCCTTCCCTTCGTGTCCTCGAGGTCGGGCCACTGCGGTGGTGGCGGGCGACTGACTCAGACTGTACTAGCAGCCAAAATGACTTGCTTGTGCCCGCTTGCCTCCCTCCACCGCGCCGGACATCATCCAGCCATTAGCCATCTGACTCTCACACCGTCGCAGCTCCCAGCCCCGACTCTCAGCAGCCCCTTGGCCCTGAAGATGCTCTATACATGAGATGCCTTTTCATCCACAACTGCAAACTGTGTCTCCTAGTTCACAAGTTTCCTTTTATTTTTTCCTCTCTCTCTCTCTGTCTCTCTCCCAACATCCCCATCGGCATTTTCTTCTTCCACCAGCTTTTTACTGAACTTTTTGGCACTGCTTTGGATTGGAGTCAATTGCAGTCCACTTTGCTGGCTGCAGAGAAATCTATTGAGCAAGGAAAGGCACACACACACGTTTGCAGAAGTGTCTCGGTTTGCATTTCTGTTTGGATGATCCGAACTGTACTCACATCCTGTAGGTTGGATGGACTGTATATTGATGATTCCATTCTTTGCGCAGTTTAGACATCTCTGTTGGGGTTTGTTTATTTTTTTGTTTTTATTTTAAAAGGCACAAACTATAGATATTAGTTGAATGTTGAGGCTTTAACTTTTTCGGTGTCTTTCTACAACTGTGTTCTGTGACTCAATTGTATCGTGTTAATATCAGTACAGACCGTCTCCTACGTGACAGTATGTTTTTCCTTCTTGTAGTCTTATGGTGTGTCTCTATGGCGTAATAAGGTTCTCACGGGTTCAGTTCCTTTGTGTTTAGAGAGACCACGGTTCAGACAATGGTATATATTTTTGTTATCAGGTGCATGTCTGTCTGGTTTCCTCTTTTCTCGTTGGACTATGTTTGTGAACATAATCATCATAAATTATGTTTCAGATTTTCAAATTTATTTATATGTGTTATAATGAATGCTTCTATTTAAAAGGGAAATATTTCTACATGTGCATATAGTTTTCCAAGAGTGTACCATTAACTTGATTGTTGATAATAAAAACAAAAAGCAAGTCTAAGCAATTGAACTCTTCTGACTTTTTCTTGGTTCTACTTTTGCTTACTTGTTTTTTAAATTTAGAGATATTATGAGAGGACAGAGGAAATTGTACTTAACAGAAAGAGTCTGTTTTGGCTCTGTTAATCTTGGTGGTGGGTTGGACATCTAAACCCATGCCTCCAAGTCTGAAGTTTAGTACTTGGGATGGCAGACTTAATTCTTCTGTCAGTGCTTGTTTCTCACTTATTGGAAGCAAAGGAGTACCAGCTATTGACAAAATTTCTCACACGGTGCTGAAGCCGAAGCTGTGGGCTCAGTGGTGTCTCAGGTGTGGTTGGATACGGGTCTTTGAGGGTGGACTTGGAAGTGCAGATTCGGTGTGTAGGAGCCTGCAGGACCCATGGCATCTAATGATGTCTGGTGGTCTAGCTTCCCTAGGCTCCTGGCCTGCTGGCCACCAGAGAGTCTCAAAGTCCCTACATGGACAGCTGATCAGAATGCCTCAGGGCTTTGAGATTGCAGGCAGCTCCGCAGCATTGGTATCTTGGGGAGCAATAACATCACTAGAATTTAGGAAGCGCCGCACGTATCAGGTTGTACTTTCATGGATTATCTGATCTGTGCTTCCAAATAAGATCACAAAGCAAGCTTAACTCCTATCTTTTTCTTTTTTTGTAACAGGTTGGGAATATGGAGTGAATAGGGAGGTTTAATGGGCTTCGAAGCCCTGGATTTAGGAATGATGGGACAAGCTTTTGAACTCAGGAAATTTGATGGCAAAGCTTGTCCATTAATTATACCAATGGTTTCCGAAGTATGGTTCCCTGGCCAGCAGCATCAGCACCACTGGGGTATTATCAGACACAAATTCTTCCATTCTACTCTGGCCTACCTGAATCAGAGACTCTGAATGTGGGGCCTAGCTTTAACAGGTTATAGAGTGGATATGAAAACCACTAAATTGTACTGTAAGAAACCCCACTGGGAAAGTTCTGGAATTGGGACTAGGTTGGGAATGTGTGTGTGTGTGTGTGTGTGTGTGTGTGTGTGTGTGTTTGTGTGTGTGTGTGTTGCCCAGCAGGTGCAGAAATTCTCTTTTAGAAGAAAGATGTCATCACCTTAGCTCCACAAGGCACTCTTACCATTCCTTGGACTGGCTGGCCAGGCCACTGTTTCTGAGTAGAAGTCTGTGTCCTTCAGGGCTTCCTTTAGTATTTCCTGGGCTTTATCAATGAACAATTCAATTGCCTCTGTTTGACAGGAGACCACAGTCTGCCTTCTTTGGCCTGAGTAGTAGCTGATTTGGTTTGAATTTACCAGGGCTTCTCACCATAAGCATGTAGACATAGTTTGCATCTGAAAAGGCAGATTCATTAAGAAATTTCATACTTTTGGACCATATCAAACTTCTAGTCATCTTTCTAGAGATTTTTAAAGCGTGTTTTAGAAATACCATCTCAAAATGCCTCTCAATAAACTCTCCAAGATAATGTTTCTTATAAATCATGCCATTAATTGTGCTGGTATGAAATGCCAACAATTGCCAGATTCCTTTGCTTCCATTATTTGATCAGAAATATAACTTTAGAAGGTTAAAGTGAATGAAAATAGAGAGCATGCATTCATATTTGTTTGTTTGTTTATTGGTACTGGGAATTGAACTTAGACCCTCAAGTCTTCCAGGCAGGTGCTGTGCCATGGAGCTATATCTCTGGCTTGAGAGTTTACATATATTGACAAGAGCATTCAAAGCCGAGGTAACCTCGTCCTGGGCTTGACTAGAGGAAGATTGGCATTGAACCCACCTGGTAGCTTTTTGTGAGCTGATGGGAAGGCCAGTGGGATAGGAATTCTGCAGAAAGCAAGACTAGCAAAGGGAAGAAAATGAGAAGTGGAGAGGGAGAAAACAGAAATTTTTAAATGAGAGAGAAACAAGTGGCCACAGAAGAGTTTTTGGAAACTCCAGTAAATGCCCTATAAATACTTTTGTGTATTAATGAATTGGACAAGGGTCCCTAAATTTTCTTCTCCTGACTTTGATCTGCTTTCAGTGACTTGTCTCTAGGAAAAGGGGAACCTGGAATTGGTGAAGAAACTATGTTTTCCATTTCTCAAACCCCAGAATCTCAGCTTCCCAAAGGAATGCATTGAAAAATGTTTGGAAACAGCTAGCTTGAGTATTTCAAACACGATCTTTTTAATTTGGGTCACTTCTGCTTCTCTTACTGACCCAAGAAGCAAACTGTTGGGAGGTGAGTTTAAGATCATATGCAAAATACTGTCCCTATAATATGATGGGGCCTAGTGATAGGACACTGTGTCTCTCACATTGTGTCATTTCCTTGGAGCACTGCACTGTGTGAACAAGCTCACTTTCGCTTTTCTTCTCCTAAGGAATTTGTGTTTTGGCTCATCCAGGCATCCTTTTTCCTGGCAACTCCCAGACCACACGTGACTTCACAAAAGCTGCCTGAGCCAATGCCAGATGTCTACCCTGAAGCCAAGTTCCCAGTACAGAGAATCAGTGTGGCTTCAGAGGGGAGCTGATCACCCAGCAAATAGTTGCTGTCCAGAATTCACTCCAGATGCTTTTCTGTGGCTCATATCAGGATGGTAATCCCTGGCTAGGTAGAGTGGAGCCTCAGTTCGGGGAGGGCACCTATGTGATTTAGGATTGCAAATAACTTAATCCCTCTGATTCTGATTCATCAAAAACAAATGTGAACAATAATAACACAAGCAGGAAGGTTGCTGAGGGGATTAAAAAATATTGTACTTATAAATATTTGGCATAGCAGTAAGATTTCAGCAAGTGTCAAATATGATGATGATGACGATGATGATATCCATGATGATAAATTCTTTGATCTTCTTTGACTTTCCTAGCTCAGGCCTTCAGAACATCACAAAAAGCCCTCAGTTGTCTCTTAAATCAGTGGTCCAGGATCATGGTGGTGATGAATTGTGATGCAAGACAATTGTGCCCCAAGAATTCATCATCGTCATGACCAGTGGATGGTGCAAATGACCAACACCTACCTTTATTTTCCTTGATTACAGGGTGGTTGTTCTACATGTGTGGATATATAATAACTGAATATCTTTACCCAGTAGTATTACCATGTTGAGACATGAAAAACAGTGCAAAGGCTTGTGATGTCATTAGGCTACTAGGCCGTATTGTTGGAAATCATGTCCCCATTACCATGGTAGGCATTTTAGATCATGCATTGAGTCGTATGTTGATAGGAAGCCAGTTTTTATTTTGAAACAGGATCTTGCTAAGTTACTAAATTACTCAGGCTCTGCTCAAACTTATTATCCTATTGTCTTAGCTTCCAGAGTGATAGAATTATGGGACTGTACCACAGTGCTTGACTAATACAGGAGTTCTTAACCTTAGGTTCATGGATAGAGTTGGAGGGAGACAAGAATATATCTGTTAACTCTTCATGAAATTTAGCATTTTCTTAAATGACGAAGGTAGGCAATATAGCTACAGCAATCATTATCTGTACCCATGACTTTGTCGACAATGGAAATCATGTATTTTTACTTTACATTAGAAACACCTACATTGATATATAATTCACATTAATTATTAGTTTAAAATTATAACTATTCAACCAGCCAGTATGTCTTACTTGTGCATTAATTAAGAAGCACATATCGTTCTACATCAAAGCTTAAGATCATTTTTGATAACTTTGTTTTGATAGTCTTCTTCTGGGGTCCTATGCATCTCCCCCAAGAATCTTTTAAAAGTACTTTATTTAAAAAGCTGGAAATTGTATTTAGCATATATGTATTTAGCATGTACAATATGTTGTTCTGAAATATGTATACATTATGAAAAGACCAGACTAAGCTAATTAACATATGTATCACCTGACATATTTTTCTTTTTGGTCTGGTGCTGAGGTTAAAGCCCAGGCTAGATAATTCTTCATTACTGAGCTACATCTCTAGCCCATTTATCTTTTTTTTTTTTAGGTAAGAACATTTATAATCTATTCTTTTAATGTTTTTCAAAAATACGATACACTGGTATACTATAGTTGATACAGTATACTATATCAACTATAGTAACCATAGTAACCATTTCATATACCTATTGAACTTATTCTTCTTAACTGAAATTTTGTATGGTTTGACCAACATGTTCTCAACTTCCTCACCACCATATTTCGTGTTTTGCATTTTGTGTTATTTTGAGTCACACACATAACTCCAGTTTCTCAGGGGTCTAAGAAAGAGTATTGCAGGTTCAAGGTCAGTTTGAGATACAGAATTGGACTGTTGCAGAATGAAAGAAAAAGGGCTGGGACTGTAGTTCAGTGCTCCCTTGGGTTCAATTCCCTGGACCACAAAAAAGTTATTTTGAGAAGGGGCACATGGACCACAAGACTCCTAATTGGTGACAACAAAGAGTTCCTTCTCTTCGTGAAGCTCTGATTGTCAGAACTTTTCATTAGAACCATAACAGGTAACTGTCTTTGTATCTCATGTTTTTCAAAGGAGAAAACAGAATGAAACAAGCCCTCAAGGCTGAACAAAAAGAGCTCTGCAATTTGAAATACCACTGGCGAGGTGGAGGCAACAATTGGGATGAGCAAAGGGATTTACAAGTTTCAGGACTTGAGTATCCCCTCACTGCTTTTGGGGGTTCACGTGAGCCCTATAGGTACTATGCCGAAGCAGGACAGAGAGCAGGCCTTTCTGAAGAGGGGGTACTTTCCTTCTTAGTTCTTTCACTGAATCCCAAATCTGTGAAGTCTTGCCCGAGGTCATGCTATTAGCAAAATGGAAGCAAGGATCCAACTCAAGCTCAACCTCTTAACATGTACGCTAACCACATTTAAACACACACTCACATGCACAGGCACATGCACACCTCTCAGAGGAGAATTCTGCATTTTACCTAGCTGTCACTTAATTTTTCTTTTGTCTGAACCCGCAGCTTTTGGTTTGTTAAAATATCCCAAGGCCAAGTGATTGAGCAAGGATGCTACTTTGGCCATGT